GCGACACTCGTCGCTAGTTCTGGCAAAACGGCCGATGCAATCTTTTTTCGTATTTCCCCGCTCGCTGTCAAGGATGAGGGAATTCGCTTCAACCAGCAAAATATGGCCGCCGATGCCTGTTTACTGAGCAGTCGTGCCTGTCGCCATGCCACTCGCTGGCTTCGAGGGCGAAACTATCAGGTACAAACAGGCACACCGACAAGAGCAGGACCCCCAAATACTCGAGTCCCGCCTAAATACAATAAAGCGCAAACACTGTCGCCATGTTAACCTTTGAAAGATTAACATGTCGAAAGTGTTTACGGTATAGGTAAGGAAAAGCATGGCGTGTGGTACGAGCCGGATTCTTACACGAGGTGCAAGGTGAGCCCTGAGTACCTGTCTGCTGCCCTAGAGTACTTCACGAAAGGCGAGCCACAATCTTCGCTCCAAAGTCCCAACCAGAAGGACGTGATTTCTATCATGCTCGATGGGAAGAAAACGTTCGTGCCAAATCACTTCCTGACACGCTCAATTCTAGAGGCCTTTCGTGTACTGTATACAAAGACAAGCATTCTGATTCCGGCATTGGGCTGGCGGAATTTTATTCCTTGCGGCGGAATTTTATTTCTTGCGCCCTAGATGAGTCAAATATATTCCACATTAGGAATTGTGCGCTTGTGTGCGCTGCGCCAATTATTACCTTTGTATTGCCGCTGTAGAGGACGTTAGAGGCTCAACATTCAACACTGGTGAAATGAACTCAGAGAGAGAGAATAGTTGTTTATTTACAGTCACGAAGAGGTCAACCTGCTTAAAAGCTGATTTGCTACTTCGTAAAGGAGAGGGGGGTAGGGGTGGGGGGGGGGGGGGGGGGGGGGGGCAAGAAAGGAAAGAAAAAAAAAAGAGAGAAAAAAGAAAAGTTTAAAAATTATATAAAATAATACGTATTTACATTATATACATCAACTTCTATAGCAGCTTGAATAATCGAGTATGAGAGAGAAAATTAATTAGTGCTTTCGTGGCCTTATGTGCGTCTCCAGACGTTGACCACGGCCCAAGAAGGTGGTGCAGTTCAAGTTTTTCATTTGGTCCTAGTCCCAGCTGTATTTTTAACGTCTTTCTTTCAGAATCGTATTTCTTGCATATACACAATAGATGGTCACAGTCTTCGGGTGAAGAACATGAAGAGCACATGGGTGATTCTTCCTTGCCAATAAGATGGAGGTATTTCTTCGTATATGCGACGTTGAGACGCAGTCGATGAAGTGTTGTCTCTTGAGCTCTTGAGAGGTTTCGTGGCATGCAAAATTCTAATTTGGGGTCAATGTGTTTTAGGTATTTGTAGTAATAATGTGGGTCTGTCCATAACGACGATGTTATTTCCCTGCCGATTGATCGAGTGACGGTGTTGGAATCAGTTCTTGAAAGTGGAATGAGGAAAGTAGCAGTTTCTTTGTGAGCTTCTCTGGCTGCGTTGTCTGCACAAATATTTCCAGTAATCCCGCAATGCCCTGGCACCCACTGGAGAACTATATTGTGCCCCTTAACCAAAGCGTTTTGGTGGATCTCCCGGATTGCGTGAATAAGTTGTATGTTTGGACTTTGTTTACGAAGTGAAGAAAGAGCTAGAAGAGCAGACTTAGAGTCGACGAATATCACCCATTGGTGTGGATTTTGGAGAATAATATGCTGCATGGCTGTTCTGATCGCCGCGAGCTCTGCAGCAGTCGAGGACGTCATATGACTTAGTTTTGCTTTAATAGTTGTTTTGGTTGATGGAATATATACACCGATACATGAGGAGGTTAGAGTGGTAGACCCATCCGTATAAATATGCACAGATAGTGAATAGGTTCGATATGTATATTCTAAGGCTATTAGTGTAATCACGGCGATCGATGTCTCTGCTTTCTTTTCTATACCTGGAATGTTCACTATAATTTCTAATGGGGGATACATCCAAGGCGGAAGTGTCGGATTCTGTGCAGCCTCAAATAAGTTGGGGAGATAGTCTTTCAGGAGCGCAATGATTTTGGAGAAGCTAGAGGAAGGTTTGGATTCAACAATATTTTTAAGGGGGTGATGTGTATTGCGAGTGACATGTCGAAGGTGAGTTCTGATTGTTTCTTGAATTCTTAAAGCTGAAAGTGGAAGTGCCCTAGCCTCAGCGAGTGTGCCGTTCTTCGATGTGCATTTGGGCAGGCCCAGACAAGAGCGCAGTGCTTGTGCCTGGGCACTTTCAAGATCTTTCATAACAGTCTTTGAGGCTCCGTTCATAACTGGTAAGGTGTATCGTAAGAGTCCTACAAAAAGAGAGTTATACAGAGTCATCGTTGCTGAGACGGAACAACCCCACCTTGTTCCGCTTATCATTCGGATTATTTGAGTGAAAGAGTTTATTTTTCAGCCGTTTAATATGAGGGCCCCAAGTGAGATATCTGTCTACAGTTACACCTAAAAAGGTATATTCAGGAACATAGGGTATCGGTGTTCCTTCCACATATATGGGATATTTGCTGGTATCCTTTTTTGTAAAGGCAACAGCGGCTGACTTTATGGGAGATATATGTAGCCCACGAGACTTGAGGTATTTTATGACAATGTTGATCGCTTTCTGTAGTCGTACCCGATTTATGTATAAAGACTTGCTCGATACCCAAAGACAAATGTCATCAGCATTTAAAGATATATGCACTGTGTCTGGAAGAAGTTTGAGAAGACTAATGAGCGATATATTAAAAAGAATTGGACTAAGAACACTCCCTTGGGGCACCCCTCGTTTTACTTCATGGTGTCCTGTGTCACCGTCTTGTGTTGAAATGTAAATTTTTCTTCCCTTAAGGTAGTTTGATATCCACATCACTACAGGTCCTTCGAATCCCATGTTTTTCATGTCAAGAAGTATTGCATCGTGTTCCACTGTATCAAATGCCGCTTTGATGTCAATAAAAAGAGCGGTTGTTTTCTTTTTCTGCATTTTCATCTGTTCGATACTAGAAACCAAACTTAGTACATTGTCTATGCTGCTTTTTCCGCGGCGGAATCCGGACATCTGGGGTGGATATAGGCCTCTGTTCTCAAAATCCCATTCGATCCGCGTAAGCACCATTTTTTCCATTATCTTTCCAATGCAGCTTGATAGTGCGATTGGTCGATAGGAATTAATGTCAAGAGGCGACTTTCCAGGTTTGAGAATAGGCAGGACACGAGCTACCTTCCATTCATTTGGTATAGCGCCAGATTCCCATGATATGTTATAAAAGTCCAGTAAAAGACATCGTGCTCTTTCACCAAGATGAGTTAAGGCACAATAAGCAACTCCGTCTGGCCCTGGAGATGACTTAGTGTTGCATGATGCAAGCGCGATTTCTAACTCCTGTAGCGTAAAGGGGACATTAATTAGGCTACAAGCATGTGTTATTTGATCTGTGATACTGATGTTGTATTTAGAGCTTGACGTGTAACAGGTGATCTTTGCACAATACTCATCTGCCACGGCGGTTTCTGTGAGTTTTCGACTCAAGGCTATGGATCGGAAGGGATGTAATTGCTGCGGTTTATTACGAAGGCTTTTCATCATTGGCCAAATGCGTGTCAAAGGCTTCCTGGGATCTAGGCTTGCGCTCTTATTTCTCCATCGTTTCTTTGAGAGCTTGTCTAAATGCCGTTGAACGTGCTTTTGCGCTCGCCGTGATGCTCTCAATTCTTCAGATTTGCCTGTTTTTCGGGCTCTACGTTCTGCACGACGGCGAATAGCGCGAAGCCGTTCATATTCGCTATCAACAGCAGCTTGCGAATTCGCCATTTTGTACGACTTTGTAGCTTCTGATTTTGCGGACGCAATGACGTGCGCAAGGTCTTCAGTAGTAGCGATCTCATGACACTTTGTTTCTAGTTTTTCTTGAAATTTTTCTCAGTTAGTGTAGGATAAACTTGTACCCAGTTTTACGCAGCAAAATTTGTTTATTGTGATATAGGTGGGGACGTGATCACTTCCGTGGGTTTCGTTGTCGGCTAACCATGATGTCTTAATGGCCAGATCGGCAGATGCCAGTGAAATGTCTAGTGGGCTACTCATCGTGACCCCCTTGAAATACGTGGGACTTCCGTCATTGAGAACCTTAAGATTATATTTGTAGGCCAGATCAACTAATGCTCTTCCTCGAGTATTAGCTTTTTTACCGCCCCACATTGGATGATGGCTATTAAAGTCGCCTGTCAGAATATGTGGGCTTGGTGTCTTTTTAATTATTTCTTCTAGTCTAAGCTTGTCGAATGCTTTACCTGGTGGAATGTATGCCGCAATTATCGTGAAAGTGATCGCTCCTTTGCGGATACTTGCAGCAATGTATTCGTTAGTTTGGTGGGGTGAAACAGTATGCAAAAAGAAGGTGAGATCTTTCCTAATTCCAAGAAGTACCCTGCTTAAACCCGATCTTCTCTGGGAATAAAAGAGCTCATAACCTGATAGTCTTATGTCTGAGCCGACTCGTGACTCTGATATTGCTATAACAGGAAAACGATATTTGAAACCAAACTGGCGAAAATTTGATAAGCGATTACGTAGACCTCTTGCATTCCACTGAAAGATAGCTGCTCGACTACGTAATCTTTCAATGGACTGCATGGGCCTACTGTGTGATAATGTCGGCGGAGGCGTCTAATTGACGTGTACTTATTGACACCATAGCTGAATGAGCGGAAGGATGTAATCAAGAAGTGTTATTAAAGCTGTTGCTATAGGAGAGTGCCACGTGAGAAGAATGCTACGAATAAACGCGGCTACTGTGTTCAGTGTGGGTCCCAAGCTCGGGGGAGAGGGACTCGTTGGATACTTCTCTCGCAATGTTCTAGTTTGGTCTCTGGAATTAATATTATCTGGAGGCTCCCGATGGGGAAGGATTGGAAACTCCTTAGCGTCATTGAGTTTATATGTTGGTGTGTTAGACGTGTTTGATTTGTCATCTGAAGTACTACGACCTGTCGTTTCTGCGTTACTTTTTCTCAATTGGTATTTACCCTTTAACAGAGGATGTGCCGGCCACTTCTGTTGAGTTATTAGCAACGTGGTTTTGATGGTGCCTACGTTCAGTTGTGTCAGGTGGGTTTACCTCCACTTTTTCATTTGAGGAGAGTATGGCTGATCTTGCGGACTTGTAGTCCATTCCAGCGTAATTCTTGTACTGGTATATGTTTTGTTCAAGCTTGAATTTGGGGCACTGACGAGATGTTGATTCGTGTTTTTTCCCGCAGTTTATACATCTAGGGTCTTCTGTGTCGCACTTGCTCCTGTCGTGAGCTCCACCGCAGCGACTGCAGCGACTTGTTTTCAAGCAGGTGCCACGGATATGACCATACGAACTGCAGTTCGGGCACTGTCGAGGCTTTTCAATGAAGGGCTCAACGTTGTACCTCGTGTACCCGATGGTGATGTAGGCAGGTAGGGTGTTAGTGCTGAATACTAGTTTCACAACCTCTGACTTCCCAAGACGCCGAAGGCAGAGAACGGGAGCTGTAGCCCGAACCGAAGATTCTAGCTGGACGTCACTGATGTCTTCCTGCACTCCGTAGATTACTCCCTTGGCTGCTTCACGTGAGTGCGGTGCGTAGGCTTGCACAGGTATTCCTCCGATGCTTTCAAGTTTAAGTAGAGCTTTCGTTGATTCTGTGTTTCTCCAATCAATTGCAAGAAGGTTAAGTCTTCGATTTGGTCTAACAAGAATGACGCCATCTGGTGCGGTCATTTCGAGTTTTTCAGAGATCTTTAGAGGATTGATCTTCGCAAGTGACTTGTCGGGATCTGTGGGCTTCAGAATCACGGTGAGGGTAGGCTGAAGCGGTGCTGTTGTGATTATGGTCGCGCCAGATGATACGGAGCTGATGGCGGTACTTGGCCTCTTGCGGCGCTTTGGAAATTGGAAGGCTTCCGATGAGTCTTCAAGCTTACGAGACACTTCTGCGCAGGATGAAGCGGCACTCGATGAGGCCGTCAGATCTTCCATCTGGTTGTCGTTCATTTCACATTCAGCCTACCAGAAAAAAAAAGAGAGAAAAAAGAAAAGTTTAAAAATTATATAAAATAATACGTATTTACATGATATACATCAACTTCTATAGCAGCTTGAATAATCGATCACTTCGTCGTCGTTTTTTCAGATGAACTCAGCATTTCTGTGCGACCCACTAACAAGTCTGTGTCTTTAAGAAGACTGTGAACACTGCCCAAAAGGCCAGTCTCTTACACTCAAGGAACTTCATATCCCAGAGGATGAAGAGATTGTGCTTAGAACACGGGAGTCCGGCGACCTTGTAAAAAAAAAAAAAAAAAGAAAACATGAAATCTTTAGACTTTTCTAAAAGTCGTTCAAGTAACGGTTGAAAGTTGGATATTTCACAACCATATCCGACAGAGGCAAGATAAAGCGATCTACGATGAAAAGCAGATGCATATGCAACGCGGGAGCGTTGTCTTTAATTTTGACTTTCCTGGAACTAGACCATCGGGCTTCCTGACAAAGTCGAAGCATACCACTGAAGAAAAAAGATTACGATATTTACGTGTGTAATGACGACAAGAAAATCTGCAGACAGCATTGCTATCATTAGTGAAAACCTGTGTGACAACGTCGCTCTCACGTGCTCGGCTCTATAGAGAAAGTGAAACAATGGGTTGAAGACAACGTCGCAGTATACTCGCACGTGACGTACGTAAGTGACGGGGCCGCCAGTATTTTTAAGAACCGCTAACAGCTTCACCAGTTTGCACAGAACGATTTCCCACAACCCTAGTGGTTATTTTCTGCATCTGGACACGGGAAAATGCAGGCGACGGAGTGGGCGATCTCGTGAAGCACCAGGCCACGCTAAACAACCTGAGAGAAAGTTCAATCAACGCAATTCAGACAGCCAGGACAATGATGAGCGTTCCATTTGAGAAACTAGGTGCATCTTGCGTATCTGGACGAAAATGAGCTTGTTCGGAATCGTCAACAAAAAGAAGAGGAGCGGCTCACGGTGCGCGTTTTTCCTGGCATTCAGTCTTGGCGCGCGTGGCAGCTGTGCAAGTCATCAACAGAAGGCACCTGTGACATATATGTAGCACGGACACTCGGATCTGCTTAGAAAAAACTATGAAATGGGTACATCAAGGAAAGCCTTAGTGTCAAGTGCCAAATTTGTTGCCCCAAGGACAGCTCATTTTGAATGCAGGGACATCTTATTTGTCACAGTTTTCTTCGCGAGGTATTTAACTACTATTTTACTTGGTGATAGCTTATAATCTTTATCTGATCACCATATGAGAATCCCGATACGTTATCCTCGCGCAGGATAAAATATCTCGGCTTGCCACGATATCATTCGTGCACCGAGAGTATCGAAGCTCTTACAGTCCGGCGCGGTGGCACCGCTCATCTGAAATTCGTTTGTCGTCGGAAATACATAACTAACCAATAATGTTAGTATTCTATCTTTATTTTTGTGCGTGAAAGTAAAGTTTTTTTTTTTAATTTTAAATATAAATTATACCGGAAAGTAAAACTTCACACCGTATCATCCTTTCTCGAATCACTAGTCTCTAATACGATACCTCTTTGTACGCTGTATGTAAAATACTGTATATAGTTTCTCCTCACTTTTAGTGCGTGTGACTGATTGCTCTGGTTGTCAGTGACCTCATCTGAATAAAAATCTATGAAAGATGTGTGTTAGTTTCCTGAAACTGGAACTCAGAGTCACTTCTCGTACGGGGCACTGCTAAGTGTTGGCGTTGAAAAAGGACCCTACTTTGGGGAGTTGCGTCTCCTTTCTCAATAAAATAATGCAACATGTGTTTAATAGAAATGAATGCCGAAATAGAGTATGACAGGGTACCCAGACTTAAAAAAAAAAGAAAGTAATGTTTGTTTTTTATATGCATCGAAATTTTTTGTTCGATTTTTTCCCCATGTTTGCCTAAATAGAACCCAACTATTGTATCACTCAGATACCTTATTTTTTTTTAAATAATAGCCACATATAAGGAGGATACTACCTGCAAATTATATGACAATGGTTAAATTATTTCATAAGATACAGGCCTCCAAATTTGCCATTTGTCGTTCGAGAGGCATGTTCGGGAATTTTTAGAAAAATAAATAAAACTTAAATAAAAATTATTACTTTATATAACAAGCAAGCTGTACCGATAGTTTGTTTTTGAAAAAAAGTATTGGAATTATTGTAGTTTTATCCTTTTAGTTATTCGCTTTCAAACGTGCCCCCTCCATCAGTGCGCGTTAATGCAACTGTCCACCTCTTCATGCCTTACGATTTTTCCTGTCCCCAAATATTTTTTTCTGGTCAAAACTCAGTTTAGATTCGTTTATACAAGACACTAGACAATAGCATACAAAAACATCGGTTGATTTAAAAATGTGGACCAGCCACCCTTTGGTCGATCTTATCTGAAATCACCCCTCAAATATAATTAGAGTGCCGTGTTTTCGGATAAATCCGAAAACTCCAAAAAACATCCGCCGGTAAAATTTTGGTTTTCGGATTTATCCGACAAACTCCGAATTTTTATGTGCCAGTGCCACACTCCCCTTCACCCCTCCACCTCCCCCCCCCCCCCCCCTGCCCCCCGCTAAAAAGAAGAAAAAAAGAGTAAAAAACTACATATATATATACTTCTTCTTTTTTTTTTTTTCTTTTTTTACAGTTTGAGCAGCGGGGGTATAATGGCCCTGGGAAAATTGCCACCATAATTATCTTTCAAATCTCGGGCCGCTGTTGGGTCTTGTCGCTTGACCAAGGTTGATTCAGGGAAACAAGTCATTGTACATTCGGATCACGACAAAAGCCACTCTTTTGGGAAAAAAGGATGGGGTATGTTTTTGAAACAGTGAAAGCTATGGACCATAAAGATTGCATAAAATAGGGAAGAGAGGCAGTTGAAACTTCCTTATTACATCTTTTACCACTTCACCTTGCGCTGCCGCGGGCTAGATTGATGAAATAGGATGGGATGACTGCGAGCTTCATAGCGACTACCTCCAGGAGTTTATTGATTTTGAGGTGTCGACGTTTATCGAAGCAACACTTGTGTGCGACTTTTGTCGTTGGACAAATAAGTATTGCCAATGGCAATGGCACCAACGCCAAATTTAACTAAACTTTTAATTGATACAAACGCGTTTTTTTTTTCAAATATGGCATAAGTTTACATCCGGTTATCAATTATACATTTATTTTTAATAGGAGAGATTGCGAAATTAAACTCAGAATTTCTGATAATTGGGAATCCAAGAAACATAAACTCCGATAAACTCAGAATCTTCGGCAAAAAATAAACTCCGAAAAACACCCTCCGAATTTGACGAAAAATAAACTCCTAAAACACGGAACCCCAAAATATAATTAACCACGAAACAAAATAAACCAAACACATATTAAACTTTTGGCTTACATTTTAAGTGCATAAAAAAATTTAAGAACAAATCGCAGTTTACCATAGAAGGTAAAATTGTCGCTACTTCACAACGGCTTTTTACACGCGCATTGAACAAAGTACAAAATGAGCACAAACATTACAGTTCTTTGGGATACTGCATAAAGATGAAAAGAAATTACACAAAGGCCAATCGGCAGCCTATTAGAAACATGCGATATATGAACGCACGATCGAGGGAATAGGTTTCATACATGAACAAGCCTTTGAAAAATATTAATGAGAAGGAGCTAAAGGTCCTTGTGGCAATAGAGCAAGGGGGTATGGTTTAGTCTGGCCTGTTCCATTGTAGAGCGTACGTAAGTCTTAACTTTCCGGAGGAACGGGAAAGACCGTTTTGATGTGCAGGAAGCTACAGGAATCGTCAGTGCAATTAGGAGAAGCTTGAAAAGCTCTAGAAGAAGAGCTCTCAGGCGCTCCCCTTCCTCTCCCGAAAGAAGGTCCCTCACGTCTTGAAATAGAACAAGGCTCGTGACACGTTGCTTTGCTATGTCCATCAAAATGTCTTTGGCATCTTGCCTGAAAACCAATTGGTCTATCGATCGAGCGTGCCGAAAGCTCGGCGATAGACAAGTTATCGTGACGAAAAGACAATCAGACCGCAGTGCTTTTTCAAATGTTTAGCCCAGCCGCAGCGAATAAAGGTACTTCGATTGGAAAGCCGAAACACCAGTTAGCGTTGCGGGAAAGGTTTGTTCATACCCTTAGCGAAAAGTCGTTCAAAATCAGTACACTCGAAGTGTACTGAAGTATGCTAAAAGTATACTTTCAGTGCGGTCTTTGTACTGATTGTATACCTTAAGTGTACTTAAAGTATACTTCCAGTAAAAATGGCGGTGGACTGAAAGTATACTCGTCCGTACAAAACTAGTACATGTAGTAGAATCGTAGTGCCCACGGTAAAAAGTAGTTCAAAATCAGTATACCGAAAGTGCACTTAAGTATACTAAAGGTCTACTTTCAGTGCTTGCAGTCGGTGTACTCAAATTATAATAACGGGTATATATATATATATATATATATATATATATATATATATATATATATATATATATATATATATATATATATAGTGCGATTTTTAACATCAACACACTAAAAACGCGATAGATAGGCCGATGCCGTTTTCACAGAATATTTGTGGGGCTCGCTGGACATTAGATAAGTAAATAAACGTCACAGTACGTTGTCTAATTAGCTTTTTTAATTGACGGTGTAATTGACCATGTTGAATTTTCATTTTTAAAGGGGCTATGAATAAACTCTAGCCCAAATGAAACAGTTTGCGAAAAGGTGGCGAGTTTTGGGTTATTCATAGCTAAAACTCTGCCTTTCGTCGCCTGATTAAAAACAGCGCACTGGACTGAGCGCAGGATGCTATTATTACGTATTTCCTTAAGTCGAACTGTTGGAAGTATGATGCTGGAGCATCCACCAAAGGCACGCTTTCAAAATAGTGCAACTTCGTTCATGCTGAATGCGACAGCACTTTATGAGGGTTGTAACTTCACTAGAAAATTAAATAAT